TCACTTAATCATAGACAAGAAAATAGAGCGTAAGTACTTACGTTCACTTAATCATAGACAAGAAAATAGAGCGTAAGTACTTACGTTCACTTAATCATAGACAAGAAAATAGAGCGTAAGTACTCACGTTCACTTAGCGAGTTTTGGAAGTATGGCCGCAGGACACATACATTTCATTGTATATGTACGTGTTATATTAATGTATTTGACACATTTAGTTTATTCAGTGTACAAAGGAAGCTCGGGAGCTGGGGGGACGCTTCCGTTACCCCCTGGACGAAGCTTCGTGGTCACGTTCATGTTATTTAAATAATAAATACCATTAGTACCGGTAATACATTATATGCTAAAAATCTTACTAGAAATCCTTTATATATTGCAAATCCTATTAGAATTCTATTATATATTAGAAATATTATTAGAAATCCATTGTATATTACAAATCTTATTAGAAATCCATTATATTTTAGAAATTCTATTTCAAATCCATCAGAAACCCATCATATATTAGAAATTCCATAAAAATTCATTATATATTCCACAGTTTAAGGAAATTAATACAAACTCTACAGAATTTTTAGGTAAGACTTACGCCGTTACAAGTCGCTACTGCACTAAAGTCGCCAGCCTACATTTAAGATAAATAAATGTAATTGTCTTCTGAAAATCAGAAAGCTGATCGAAATTTGAGATAAAAACGAAATTTTAGTCGTAATTGTTATAATATTTCTTAGGTACCGGTATTTAAGAAATATTATAATATATAATAAGTATATAAGTATAGCAAAAATAGTCATTTTAATATAAATTATTGCTATAACAAGACCATAGAAGCTTCGTCCTCCCTGCAGAATCGTCAAATTAAATAATTAATAATAAATAAATAGTTAATAATTAATAATAAAATAAATATATTGATTGGCTTTATTAATAATAAAGACTTTACACCTAAATTCATCAATCAGGAACGAGGAATCATTATTTATTTTATTAATAAATTTATTATTATTAAAATATATTTAAATAATAATCGTTATTCACACGAGTGCCTAAAAAATTCAATACCATTTTTTTTCATTAAAGTTTTATCGAATAAATGTTATTCAAAATACAAGATCATTGCTTCCTAAAATAAGAAAATGTTTGAAACTATACATGTAAACATTGACNAGAGTTAAGGGCGGCCAGGACACTAGTGGCCGCCACTACTTCCTACTGGCCACCCTGTTGAGGGCGGCCATGACACTAGTGGCCGTATGGGCCAGCATGAGGACACTAGAGTTAAGGGTGGCCAGGTTGTCCGCCATGGCGGTGAGTGCGTCGTTGACCGCCGTCCAGGCGCGGACGCTCTCAGCGGTGGCCGCCGTCCGCTGCGCCGCCACGTCCTCCAGCCGCTCCAGGAGGACGGCGCGGACGCGCTCCAGGCTGTCCGCCGCGTCCATCTCGCACCTGCACACACATACAACTATGGGTCAAATGTCCTAAAATGATGGACAGTTTAATATTAATGGACAAAAATTATAATTAAATTAGATTAAAATTGAATCATTTTAATAATAATAGGCATGACCCAAAAAGATATATATTTTAATGACAACAATAATGATAATGGACAAAAATTACATTTAAATTAAATAATTTTAATAAGAATAGACATGTCCCAAAATAATGGACATTTTAATGATAATGGACAAAATTAAAATAAAATTTAATCATATTTAAAAAATATAGAAATCCACACACAAAAAGCAATAACAAGTGCACCACAACTAGCACAATGCACCACTTATGTGCGTGAGTGTACCAGTACAGTGCACCACAACCAGCACAATGCACCACTTATGTCCGTGAGTGTACCAGTACAGTGCATACCACAACCAGCACAATGCACCACTTATGTCCGTGAGTGTACCAGTACAGTGCACCACAACCAGCACAATGCACCACTTATGTCCGTGAGTGTACAGGCAGGGTACCTCAGGGAGACGTCCGCGTAGTCCACGTGTCCTTTGAGACGAGCGGGGCGCGTCCTGGGGATTAGGAATTAATTGATTAATTGGAAAATATTTAATTCATTGTATAATATTTAATTAAACGTATAATTAATTATATACCGGTACTTGTATGACAATTACTTAATTGCATAATAATTAATTAAATAATTAATTGCATAATAATGAAATAATTCATTGTATAATAATTAATTCATTTTATAATAATTAATTCATTGTATAATTAAGTGATATTTTATAGACGTTATTAGAGTATAATAGTGCATTATTATATTAAAATACAATATTACAAATAAAAGAAACGTATGAAATATACGTACAGTGGCTGCATCATTGATTATAAATTGTATTGTTTTGTATATATATATATAATATTATATTTAAATATATTACACCTGACCCACCTGGCACACCTGACCCACCTGGCACACGTGACACACCTGGCACACCTGACCCACCTGGCACACCTGACCCACCTGGCACACCTGACCCACCTGGCACACGTGACCCACCTGGCACCTGTCTCTTATACACATCTAGATGTGTATAAGAGACAGCCCTAATATAGACCCCCACTCACCCTAATATAGACCCCCACTCACCCTAATATAGACCAGGTCGTCAGGATAGACCGAGCAGTCCATGGTGTCTGCATCTTCATCATTTTTTATCATTTTTTTCTTAGATTTCACTATTTTCTTTTTCTTCTTCTTAACCACACCATCAACACCACCAGAACCTGGGACCTGGTGGTTGTTATTAACCACTGTAGCTGGTTGTTGTGGTTGGTTATTGGTATTTAATGGTACTATATTAACACCATTACTTGTATTACCGCTACCATTACCACCGGTAACAACAATACCGGGGACTAGTAACTGTTGTTGTTGTTGTAACTGTTGTTGCTGTGGTGCGTGGTGGTGGGTATGGTGTGGTGGGTGGTGCATGTGGTAGCTGGTTGTAGATGTGGTAGCTATGTCGTGCAGTAGGGTTGTCTTGTGGAGGTTGGGGTCGGGGTTGAGGAGGGGTTTCATGTTGGGTTGAGGCTGGTTGGGTTCGTGATCCAGCAGGCCTTTGCCGACGCCTTGGGGGCCGCCCTCCAGGGTAACTGTGAAAATAACATGGATTTTAAAAATAAAATTCAAATATTCTCTACATATCAACTGGAAAACAAAAGAAAAACAAAACCTAATACCTTACTACCTTGTACGAAAAAACGTCAAAAAACGTCAAAAACGGCGAAAAAACGGTCGGACCGTTAAATAAAACCATATCCTGGTCGATTTTTACGAGACGCCGTTAACTAAAACGCCGGTTCGACCATTTTTCACCGTTTTTTCCTTTGGACAGCGTAGATGGGTTTCGGCAGACGCACCATAGCATTCAGGCGAAGACCATACTCACTATCTACCACTCAATATCATTATCTACATACCCAGCCTCCTCACCATCTACTAGGTACTCTGATAGTTCCCAGGGTGCATTGTACCTGAACTACCCCAACAATATTCAGGGACCACCTATAGGCTTGGGCCGAATAGTCACTAGGTACGCTCGGCGCAAAGTTTTTCTGGGTCTGCTTGGCCACCCGATCAAAATCAGTTTCTAGGCCCATACTTTCAGATAAAGTTAAGAGATCGTAAGTTCATCAGCCAATCATTGACGGCCTTTCAAGCAAAATCCACCTATCATAGACAAGAAAATAGAGCATAAGTACTTACGTTCACTTAGCGAGTTTTGAGAGTATGACCCCCGGTCAGAATCTCCTAACCGACTTTATAGTCGCCCGAGAGTGTGACAAGGGTTGGCCGAAGCCCTGACAACCCCTTGCCCTGAGCCGCAGCCCTGACAACCCCTTGCCCTGAGCCGAAGCCCTGACAACCCCTTGCCCAGAGCCAAAGCCCTGACAACCCCTTGCCCAGAGCCGCAGCCCTGACAACCCCTTGCCCAGAGCCAAAGCCCTGACAACCCCTTGCCCAGAGCCAAAGCCCTGACAACTCCTTGCCCAGAGCCAAAGCCCTGACAACTCCTTGCCCTGAGCAGAAGCTGACATTGAGAAGCTGATTTACGTGCTCCCCGAGTCCTAGGCGACCCTAATGCAGAGTCGGTCATGCCTCTAAATTTTGTTAGGGTAGGTTCACTGTACCTGTACTGTACCTGCACTAGGTGCACTGTACCTGTACTAAACATATCTGTACAGCACTGTACCTGTACTAAACACATCTGTACAGCACTGTACCTGTACTAAACACATCAGTACCTGTACTGTACCTGTACTAAACACATCAGTACAGCACTGTACCTGTACTAAACACATCTGTACAGCACTGTACCTGTACTAAACACATCTGTACAGCACTGTACCTGTACTAAACACATCTGTACAGTACTGTACCTGTACTAAACACATCTGTAC